TCTCTCTCTCAAATATATAAATAAATAAATAAAATCTTTAAAAAAAAAGAAGATATCTGTAAATAGATAAATAGATATACAGAACCATCAGCATATAGAAGAATGCTGTTTAAAATCATAAGACTACATGCAATCCTCATCAAGACAGTAAGGATAGAGGTGTCTGGGTGGCTCAGTCGATTAAGCGTCTGCCTTTAGCTCAGGTCATGATCCCAGGGTCCTGGAATCAAGCCCTGCACTGGGCTCCCTGCTCAGCGGGGAGCCTGCTTCTCCCTCTTCCTTTGCCCCTCTACCTGCTCGTACTCTCTCATTCTCTCTGTCAAATAAATAAACAAAATCTTAAAAAAAAAAAAAAGACAATAAAGGTAGAGGGAAGGAAAACATCAAGGACTAAACCCTGGGTCACTGTAACATTCAGAAGCTGGAGAGGAGGAGAAGAGCTATCAAAGGAAACTGGGAAGGGGCTGCTAGTGAAACAGGAGGCAACCAGGAGAGTGTGGGTTCCAGAAGCCTAGGGAGAAAGGCATGATCACCTGGGTTGGATGCTTCTGAGAGGTCAAGGAAAGTGAAGACCAAGCAATGACCATTGGGTTTAGCAACCAGGAGGTCACTGGTAACTTGACCAAGAGTAATTTCATTTTTTTTTAAGATTTTACTTATTTATTTATTTATTTGAGAGAGAGAGCAGGGGAGGGGCAGAGGGAGAGGGAGAGAATCTCGAGTCAACTCCCCACTGAGTGTGGAGGCTGATGTGGGGCTCGATCCCACAACCCATGAGATCATGACCTGAGCTGAAACCAAGAGTCTGATGCTCAACCGACGAGACACACAGGTGCCCCCCCCCCTTTTTTTTTGAGAGTGAGAGTGAGTGAGCAGTGGGAGGAGGGGCAGAGGGAAAGAGAATCTTAAGCAGACTCCATGCCCAGCGCAGGACCCCACTTGGAGCCCCACACAGAGCTCAATCTCATGACCCTGAGATCATGGCCTGAGCCAAATCAAGAGTCAGCTACTTAACCAACTGAGCCACTCCAGTGGCCTGACCAAGAGCAATTTCAGAGGAATGTTGAAGAAGAAAGCCTCATCAGAGCAGGTTCAAGAAAGAGTAGGAGAAGAGAAATGAGAGGGCGAGCATAGACCTCTCTTTCAAGGAGCTTTGCTACAAACCTAGGGTGGTGGATAAAGGGAGAAGTGAGGCCAAGAGTGGTTTTGTTTTGTTTTGTTTTCTTGTTTTGCTTTAAAAGTGTTTCGAATCAGCATTAAGATTGTATCAGATGAGAATGATCTGGTGGGAGCCAAAAATTAATGATGCAGGACAGAGAGGGGAGAATTGCTGGAATGGTTCCTTGAGTAGGTGATAGGACGGGGCTGATCCCAAGTGGAAGGCTGGCCTTTGATGGGGCACAGACAGGTCATCTGTGGTAAGGGGAGGCAGTATGTGGGTGCAGACCTGGCTGGTGGGCAGACAGCAAACAGAAGAAGAGAGCTCCCGTGTTTTCAAGGGAAGGAGGAAGCATGTCTCTGACTGGGAATGAGGATAGAGGAGGAGGTGTTGGGGTTCAGGAAAGGGGACCTGGATGATAAGATATCTAGGGGAGAGACAGTGCACTAAGGAGAGTATGAGTGCAGCACTGCGGGGGGGTGGGGGGGGGAGGCGGAGAAAGTGAGGTCTGTATGCCCAGTTCAGATATCACTTCCTCCAGAAAGCCTTCTGACCCCCAGACCAGGTCATTCCCCTTGTTGTAAGTCTCATAGGCCCTGTGGTGCTTCTCTGATGCAGCTCTGATCACAACCGGAATGAACCATCAACTGTATTCTTTAGTTCTTTAATCCCTAGATCCCTCCCTAGACTGTAAACCCCCGAAGACGTGAGCAGAGGCTGTCTGTTCCAGCGCTGTGTCTCAGCATCTCGTTCCTCTTGCATAGTCGTGTCTCAGTACAGAAATATTAAATAGTTGAACGAACGAATGAAATAATGAATGAGAAAAGTCCCAGAAGTGGCATGCATGTTTTCTAGTCGACCTAGATTTCTTTTTTTTTTTTAATTATTTTTAGAGAGAGAGACAGAGAGTGCCCCAGTGCGAGCAGGGGGAGGCGCAGAGGGAGAGGGAGAGACAGAATCTCAAGCAGACTCCTCGCTGAGCATGGAGCCCTCCCAGAGCTGGATCGGGACCCTGAGAGCATGACCTGAGCTGAAACCAAGAGTCCCAGCTCAACCGACTGAGCCATCCCTGCGCCCCTAGTTGGCTTTGATTGCGGAAGCAGGCTCTCCCGCAGCCCTAGGTGATTATGGACCGCCCCCCTTCCCCCTTCACTCCCTCTCCCAGAGTCCGGCTTTGCGGATGCTGGGGCTTTAAGGGCCGTCAGAAACGGAGCCGGGTGCTGATTGGCGGTTTATTCTAACGCTGGAGGATGAGCTCATCCGCAGCCAATGGCCAGGCTGCACCCGGCCAGGCCCCTGCACCTGGCTGGAGGGCGCAAGGCTGCGGGGTGGTGCACGGCCTCCCGCGCGAGGGGCGGTGGCGGCAGGGGTAGGTCCGACCGCGCGGACCGAGCTCCTGGCTCGGGCAGGTACGGGGTTTGCCCGGCTCCTCCTCCGGGCCCCGGTCCTCCAGGCGAGGGCGGCCCCTCCTCTCACTCCCCCAGCTTCCCTCGGTCCCACCGCGCTGGGACTCGCGGGCTGGGCGCTCCGCTTCCCGGGTCCAGGCGCGGCCCCGCAGTCCTGCCCCGGGGGACCCAACTCGGCGAGGTGGCCCGGGCCTGACTCGAGCAGCCCAGCCGCTCGGCCTTGGCGCCCGCCCGCCCCAGCACAGGCCTCCGAGCTGCGGGTCCCGGGTGGCTGGGCGGAGCAAGGAGGGTGCGGCTTCCCTCTCTCCTTCCCTCCACCCCCTGGCCGCATCCTGGCCGGAGTTCAGCTTCCCGCTGGCCTGGGGGATGTCGGTTTCCCCCCCCGCCCCACTCCCCATCCTGTTCTATCTATTCCCTCTCTCCACAGAGGCAGAGGTGACCTAGTCTTGGAAGTTCAGGCCCTGCCCTTCTCAGCGGGGCCTGCGAGAACACAGGTGCCACTGAGGCTGGGGGCGGAGGTGTAGGGGCCGCTCTGTGAACCTCTCCAGAGCCCTTTCCTTTCCTGAAGCCACTGCTCTTATCCCCTTGACCACTTTTGTCACACACTGCTCAGGGAGCAGCTGCTGCTAGGTCCTTGGAGGCCACGTGGCCCCCTGGCTTACTCAGACGGAGCCAGGAGAGTGCCGCTGCCTCCCTGGGGCCGGGTTGGCTCTGCCCTCCTTCTCCTACGTCGATCCAGAATCTATCCAGAATCTGTCACTCGGTCATTTCATTTGCCCACAGGTTTAAGGCCAGGCCTTGTGCCTAACTCTCTGCCAGGCTCAGGTCGGGGGGGTTGGGGGGGCGGTCCTCACTTGCTGACCTCGGCACCAAAGGGAATTAAATAAGGTGGGGGCAATCTCTCCTGTTCAGGGAGGTGCCACTGAGCTGAACCCTGAAGGATAAATGAGATTCCTGTAGAAGGAGTATGACCAGGAGAATAGGCAGGATGGAGGGAACAGTGTGAGGAACAGCCTTGGTGTGTGGCCAACATATGTTTACATGTGCTAGACACTAGTTTGTGAGACCCCAGGAAGGCAGTTCTGCATCACAGATGTCCTCAGCTCTGTCCAGTGCTCAAGAAATACCTGTTGATGTGAATTTGAATTGAAAGGAAGAGCCCTGAGCGTGTTATTATTCTATTATCACCATTTAGAAAAGGTCTGGCCCTGTAGAGGGATGTTACCCGCACTAGCTCTGATCCCTCCAGCCCTTGGAGGTGAGTATTAGTCTCCCAGTTTTCAGCGGAGGAAGCCAGGGTACTGATGGGCTGTTGTTCGCCGCCGGGGCCTCCCCAGGGCGTCTGTTGATTTCAGGTCACCGCCACAGGGCAAGCAGCCATGAGCCTGGTGGCCTGCGAGTGTCCCCCGGGCCCTGGCCTGGAGCCTGAGCCTTGCTCCCGAGCACGGTCCCAGGCCCGCGTGTACCTGGAGCAGATTCGCAACCTGGTGGCCCCCGGGGCCCCTGACGTGACCAAGCGCGACTACCTGGTGGATGCAGCCACGCAGATCCGGCTGGCCCTGGAGCGCGATGTCAGTGAGGACTACGAGGCAGCCTTCAACCACTACCAGAACGGCGTGGACCTGCTCCTGCGGGGTGTGCACGGTGAGGCCCGGGGGGCCAGGGGCGGGAGCTGCTGGGGCAGGGCGGGCTTGGGGCTCCCCCCCATCCTCTGTCCGTCTGTGCTGAGTGAGCAGGCGTCTAGGCTGGCCCCGCAGGCCTGTGGCAAGGGCACCAAGGCCTGTGTGAGTGGTTCCTGTATGCCGGACCCTGGTCTAAGGGCTTTACCTGTATTAACTCATTTGAACCTCACAGTAATGGAAATGATTACATACGTTGTTGATGTCGTATATAGGAACTATTTTTATTCCTATTTTCCAGATGTGAAAACCGAGGCACCAGGCAGTTAAATTACTTGCTTAAGTTTCCATAGCTCTCAGTGGCAGAGCTGAGGCTTGAACAGTTGGGGATCCAGAGGCTGGGCGCTGACCCCGTACGTCCCTGGAGCGAGCGGGGCTCCTGTCCTGGGGGCTTGCATCACCAGGGGGGAGACTGATGACTTTAATGTTGGATAATTCCCTCTCTGGTGGGAAGAGCAATGAGGAAGAAATGAGGGGAGAAAAGAGGGAAAGGGACGCCAGGCTAGGCCAGCATAGGGTATTTTCTAGAAGTCAAAATGAAGGGCCATCTGGTGAGAGAGAGAGAGAGAGAGAGCAGCCTGTTTAGGGCAAAGTGGGGCATTGTGCCTGCAGGGGAGAGGCCAGGTGGAGACCCCTGAGGGCGGTGGGGGGGTAGGAGTCGGGCCCTGCTTCACACTTCCTCCCCCCTCACTCCCCCACCCCCGCCACGGAGCCCCGCCAACGCCGGGGCTTCCGACTGCCCAGTGAATCTGTTCCTCTTCCAATCCTGGTCCCCACTCCGGCCTTTTCACACTGGGTCTCAGAGAAGGCAGAGGGCTGTTCTCTGGGAGCTTCTGTCTCCTGCTCTGAAAACAGACCCCGGAATCCCCCTCTCTTCCTTCCCGGGGTGTGATGGCAGCCAGTGAGGTGGGGGGGTGCCACCTGTGACCACCGTTCCCAGCCTCTCCCCCCATCTTCCTTCTGCGGCCGCACCTGCCGGTCTCCAGCCCAGAGGAAGGCTGGGTGGGGAGGGGGGACGGGGGCGGGCAGGGCACTGTCTGCACACCAGCCTCAGAAGCAGGCGCTCTCTCCTGCAGAGGGCAGAGGGCAGAGGGCGGGCAGCGGGCGCCGGAGCCCCAGCCCCCCCGCGGGGCCAGGGTGGGTCCTGGTGACTCCCTCACCCCACAGTCGACCCCAACAAGGAGCGATGCGAGGCTGTGAAGCTGAAAATTACCAAGTACCTGCGGCGGGCCGAGGAGATCTTCACCTGCCACCTGCAGAAGACCCTGGGCGGTGGGGCCGGCCCCGGCACGGTGAGGAGACCGCTCCCCAAAGGCCTGAGGGCTCTGGGGTGGGGAGGAGAGAGCGAGGTCCCCTGCCCCCCACGGGCCAGAGGGCTGTCACCTCCTGTCCTGGGCTGTGTGCGTGCCAGGGACAGGGCTGTCTCCCTGCCATTCTGCTGGCTCCCTCCGTCTCCCACACCCAACTAGTTCCTTCATCTCCGAACCCTTAGCACATCGTCTCCAGGCCAGTCTCACCCCCGCACAGGGTAAAACACACACGCACCTCCAGACTCTCATGCACGGCTCATACGCAAGCTCCATGTGTACACACTCCAAGTTTCCCACGTCTGTTGAAATTTGAATGGGTTGAAGTTTGGGTGAGCACAGTTGACCCTTGAACGGGTTTGAACTGCGTGGGTCCACTCATACTCGGAGTTTTTCGATAAATACACCACAGTGCTGGAAATGTATTTTCTCTTCTGCATCTTATTAGGCTGCTTTTCCCCAAAGCAGGTGCCCGAGCCACATGCCTGGGTCATGTCCCTGGGTTATTTCCCCACCCCTGGGAGCACCTGCCTCCTATGGGTGGGGCTTTCAAGACAGGGGATCTGAAGCCTGAGGACTCCCCTGGGCCTTGGAGGAGGGCTGGTGGGGGGCGCCGAGTGTAGAGGGCAGTGTGGTCACCTGGGACCGAGGGGGGGCCCTGCCAGTCAGGGCCAGCTTGTCTGCTCCCTGTGAGGTGGGTGCTCCGTGGACCCCAGTTCTGCCCCTAGTGCCCATTGCTCTTTTGGCAGCTGGGGAGGGCCCGGTGAGAAGGCAGTGCCTGAGGAGGGCTGGGCCCTGAGTCTGTGGGTTCTGTCTCCCACCTCTGCAGGGTTTCAGCAGCCTGAGGCTCCGGCCCATCCGCACACTGAGCTCTGCCCTGGAGCAGCTGAGGGGCTGCAAGGTTGTTGGGGTCATCGAGAAGGTGAGTGAGCTGACAGCCACGGTTTTGGTGCTGAAGGAGATGGGGCAGGCAGATGGGGGTGGTGGGGGAGGAGAAGGGGCTGGAAAGGGGTCGGAGGGCCCCAGGGGAGGAGAGTAGCTGTGTCCATTGGCTCCCCACCCTTCTCCCAGCCCAGCACACATCAGTCAGGTCCTGGAGAGGAAAAGGGGAACAGAAGAGGCAAATGGTCCCTTTTCCATAGCCTGGAGCTCAGACAGACAGCCACTCCCTTAGAGGCTCAAGACAGAAGCCGGAGAAGCAATGCCCAGGGCTCCCGGCCAGCGCACATGGCCCTGCTCACTCCCTCTCCCGCTTCCCACAGGCCCCCACCCACCCTCCCTCTGCACCCCAGGGCTGTCTCCAAGTCCTGCCGAGGAGTTCGTTTGGTGCAAGTGTACACTCCTCTCCAGAAGCCTGTCCTGCTGAGGGTCCCGGCCCCCAGAGGGGCCTCAGCAGCTCTGCCCATCCCCTCCTGCCCTCCCCCCCATCCTGACGCCGTCTAAGGCCTTTTCTCTTAATGTGGGGCAGGAAGGGAGATAGGAGCCGACATCCCAACTTGTACGGGACACTCCTCAGAGTGGGGGATCCAGGAGGACAGACAGTTGAGTCAAATGAGATCTGAGCCAATATTCGGTTGCCCTCTGCCCCAGCCCAGGCCACACCTGAGTAGTTGCTAACGTGGGTCTTTCTCAAATTGGCTGTTCATCAGAATCACCTGGGGAGCTTCCTAAATAGGGATTCCTGGGCCCCACCCCAGGCCCGTGGAGGCAGAATTTCCAGCGTTGAGCCCTGGCATCTGTAATTTAAACACTCATCGGGGGATTTTGCTGGGCCCGTGGCTCACAGAGGACGCCTGCTGCACGCAGTGTGGCCACAGCAAACCCCTTCACCTCCCCGTTGGTTTCCTCATCTGTGAGCGGGATAAGAATCCTCCCCCCCACGGGGGCATGTGGGAACTAAAATGAAATAACTTTTGGGAAAGGCCTGGCACACGCTGAAACATTTGATATGCGTTTGATGGCCCTAAATGCTAGTGACAAGGGGGGCGGGGAGGCGTGCAGGCTTCCCGTCCCCCAGCCGCGCTCCAGCTGCTTCCCCAGGTCCCTGGAACAGGCCCCAGTCTGTCAGCCAAGGCCCGGCCAGCTTCCATCTGCCTTCCCTCCAACCGCACTCGTCTGTGCGGCCCCAGCCAAGGACAGCGGCTCCCACAGACCGGCCCGGAGGGGACTGCCACCACCTTTTCCTCACGTGGGATCCCGCTGAACCGTAGGTGGTGTGGAGAGGGGGGGTTCCAGGTCCAACCAGTGTGGATTACAGGGAGTTAGAGTGACATGACTTTGTTTTTTTAATTATAGGAGTTTGCAGAGCTTTGGGGATGCAAATGTATACCATGAGTTTCCGAGAAGGAGGTCTGTGATAGAATTTCCCGAATTTGTTTGACCCCAGGACACGCGGCATATGCAAAGCAATTTCAGAATCCAGGATTCTGAGGCCTGTGCATATGGGAAGCACAAAATAAGGCCAAGCCCAACCATTCTGTTTTGAGATTCTTTCATTCCTTTTTTACCCTCTCTTGGGCATCCAGTTTACCTACTCCACCTCCCTCCTGAGATCCTGCTTCCCTTTCCTGTGTCATTTCCAAGTCGGGAACATCATCGACCCCAAATTAGGAGAGATGTTAGGGCCCCTGGGCCCAGGTCCCTGCAGCCAGGCGCTCCATTCCGCAGCCCTGCCCAGGCAGATTCTGGCGGGAGAGCGGTGCCTGGCCAGCAGTCCTGGGGCCAGGGAGGGGCCAAGGGTCTGCTCAAGAAGCCTGGAGTGCCCCCGGAGATGCCCACTTGTTAGGTGAACTGGGCTGGGAAAGGGATCCCTAGGGGCTAAGGAGGTACTGGCAGGGGGAGGGGGTTACTGGAAACTGCGAGGTGGCGGGGAGATCAGGGACTAGATAGGTCTCTGGCTAGAATACCCAGGGGTTTGTTCTCAGGGAGCATGGGGGGCCTGAGAGATATCACCACATGTTTGCTGAGCCTCATGTAGGAGCCAGAGATGGGGAAGAAAAAGAAGGCCATCCAAGTTACTTCTTGTTTTTTTGGCTCGAACACACGGGTGTTTTTTAAAATTACCATTACTTACCAACATTTAAAAATTGGCAGGTTTCATATAGAAGTCCAGATTTCCTGCTTCTCCTGCAAAATTGGAAGATCTGGAAATGCTGGCTCACATCCTCACGTGGCAGCAAGGAGTCGGGGTGGGGGGTGCCGGTTTTAATGGGACACCAGTCCTCTGGTTTGTTCCTGTCCCTGCCCTGCCCCCTTGGTTCACATCCCAGGCCCCTGTGGGCCTTGGAGTTGGAGAATCTGTTTGGAACTTTTGGATTTGGTTGCTCCATGAGAGAGTCCTCCTGGGGTTTTGATACTTTGGGCATTTTTAAAGAAAGTGTTAATGTGTTTCACCGAAGCTTTCATTGTTCCGTGTCCCAAGATCTCAGGGGGTATCTTTAAAAAAAAAAAAAAAAATTCCCTTTATGAAAAGGTGAAGTAGGGACACCCAGAACTACCTTCTACCTTCCAAATGGCAACATTCACCTGACATGAGTAAGGCACATTCTCATTTGCGAAACTGTTGCATTAAACCCTCTCAGTTGCCCTGGGAAAAAAGCACTAGGCTGTGCAGCCCCATCCACTAGTCATTAGCCACATAAGACTATCGAAGTTAAAATTAGTTAAAATTAAATATTCTGCTTCTCATTTACCCAACCATGTTTCAAGGACTTGTTGGCTTTTCGTATGGTTAATGGCTTCTGTATTGGACAGTGCAGACACATATTTCATGTTCCAATGAACAGTGCTGCACTTTATTTTATTTTTTTTAAGATTTATTTATTTGAGAGAGAGAGACAGTGCAGGGTTGGGAGGAGGGACCCAAGCAGACACCGAGCTGAGCACAGAGCCCGGTACGGGGCTCTATCTCCCGACCCTGAGATCATGACCTGAGCCAAAATCAAGAGTCGGATGCTCAACCAACTGAGCCATCTAGGCGCCTTGGACAGAGCTGCATTTTTTTTTAAGATTATATTTATTTATTTGACAGAGAGAGCACAAGCAGGGGGAGCAGGAGCGGGAGAGGGAGAAGCAGTCTTCCTGCTGAGCAGGGAACCCTATGTGGGGCTCGATCCCAGGACCCTGGGATGTCCTGAGCCGAAGGCAGACGTTTAACCGACTGAGTCACCCAGGCGCCCTTGGACAGTGCTGCATTTTAATAATTGTCTTACAGAGAATGAAACAGGGGTTCATAAGGTCAAGTGACTAGCTAGTGTTCTGTCCCCCATAGCACTGAGCGAAAGAGGAGGGGGATTTTTTTGTTTGCTTACTTTAAGGGGAAAATGCCCCCTCTGCTCTTGAGATATGAAATAGAAAGGAGTTTAAAACCATATATATATTCCCCACCATCCTACCTAGCTCCAAGATAATTGCTATTAGTGTTTTGGTCTATTTCTTTCTAGATAGGTAGATGTGTGCGTGCGCGAGTGTGTATTAAAAAATACATAAATATATATATATATTTAAACACACTTGTTCCAGCGTACTGATCAAGTTTTAAATCTGGCTTCCGGAGCCTTCACCGCTGGTGTTTTGGACTCTCTGAGAGGACCTTAGCCAGGACAAGGTGGTAGGGAATCCCAGTTGGCAAGGGACAGTGGGGAATTATCCAGGGTGTCAGTATTTGTGGGAAACTCGATTCTCCTAAATGACCCCAGAGTTTTCGGTCTTGCTTTTTCAAACATTGCACAAATTTGGTCAAGGAGCTGGGGTCGGGCTGGGTTCCATCTCTGGCTGTTGGAGGAGAGACCTCTGGCGGTCAGAAGGCAGGCATCACTGCTGCCTCCGGAAGGGCACTGACGGGGAGCTGAGACCGAAGGGAGGGCAGGTGCCATGGTCACCTGGCTGTGCCCCCCTTGCAGTTAGGTCTCCAGGGCTCTGGGGTCATCCCTGCCTGGCTTCAAATCCCGCCTCTACCGCTTTTTGGCAGTGGGACTATAGGTAACATAACCTCTCTGAACCTCAGCTTCTTCATCAATAAAAGGGGTCATTCATAACACTCACCTGGTAGGGCTGTGGGGCTAAAATTAAGTAATCTGTATAAAGCATTTAGCACAGAATAAGTGCTCTTAGCCAGCATGGGGCTTCCCTACGACAACGTCAGGGACAGTCAGTGCAGATTATCGGGGGAGGGCATGTGGCGAGGCAGGCGCAGGCGGCCGGTAGACGTGTCTGCTGGAATGGAGTCGTCCTCCTGGCCTAAAGCAGGTACTACCGTCACCCCATTTTGCAGTTGAACAAGGTCCAGAGAGGCAGTGTGATGCGGCCAGTGTGGCAACTGGCGTTCTCCTGGCCTTTATAGAAACAAAGGGCCTTTTTAAATGTATTTTTTATTTTTATTTTTTTTAAAGATTTTATTTATTTATTTGAGAGAGAGAGAGAATGAGAGAGAGTATGTGGGGGGAGGGTCAGAGGGAGAAGCAGACTCCCCGCTGGGCAGGGACTCGATCCAGGGACTCCAGGATCATGAGCTGAGCCAAAGGCAGTTGCTTAACCAACTGAGCCACCCAGGCGCCCGGGCCTTTTTTAAAAAAGATTTTATTTATTAGAAAGAGAACAAGTGGGGGAGGGGCAGAGGGAGAGGGAGAAGCAGGCTCCCTGCGGAGCATGGAGCCCGATGTGGGGCTCCATCCCAGGACCCTGAGATCCTGACCCGAGCTGAGCCACCCAGGTGCCCATAAAGGGCCTTTCTATTTATGGCCTCAACAAACCAGTAATGAGGGAAGGTGGGCATTTGTAATTCCTGTTTGGTAGATGAGAAAATCAATTCACTTGCCCAAGATTTAAACCCAGTGCCCCTTTCCCACCCCGATCCTTGGATGCAGGCTTTGCCACTGCCTTGTGGCCTGGCTGGGTAGGGGGGGGTGCCCACCTGCCACCAAGGGGAGTGTCTGCAGGGCAGGCAGGCAGACAGCCAAGGAGTCACGACATCAGGGTGCTGGTCTTGCCCCCACCCTCACCTGGCCAAATCTTCTGCTTTCCTGCCCCAACACGCTCCTGCTCTCTCCTGTGGCTGGGGTCCACCCCTGCCCACCACAGAGATGAGTCAAGGGCCCAACTCCAAACAAGGCCCTGACCCAGCAATTGGCATGTTGCTGCCTTGGACCAAAAGCAACGGGAGAAGGGGGCTGTTCTCCAAAGACGCCTCCAGAGAGGAAGACTATTTAAAAAAGGGGAGGGGCAGGCAGTGGCAGGGACCCAAAGGAGCACGCCAAGCCGGTGTGTTCCTGGGCACGGCTCGGCCCATGGGTGACCTTGGGCTGCACTCTCAAAGCCTCAGCTGCTTCACCTGTAAAATAAGAGATCAGAGGCGGTGACTGGCTCTGAGGTCCCGCCCAGCCAGGACACCCTCGAACCCCGCAGAAGGGACCACGCGCCACGCGCGGATGAAGCATCTCCGACATCCCTGCACCGTGCGGGACTCTGGGAAGAGAGCTGACAGGGGAGTCCCTGCCCTCATATTGCTCATAGCCGAGTGGGGAGACGGGAAAGTAGACACAGTGATCGGGCTCCCTAAGGGTGAGCCCAGAGAGCACTGGAGACAGATTAGGGATCCCAGCCTGACCTGAGGGCTGGCACCGGAGCGAAAACTTCAGGTCTAACGAAGGGGGGGGTGAGGACAGGATTGATGTCAGCTCGTTGCGGGGCCAGGGGCACACACTGCACCACTACAGCCTGCCCTGGAGAGAGGAACCTGGGGAGCTGGGGCTCGGACTCTGGAGCCCCAGGAACTAGCCTGTGCCTTGACTGGTGCCTCCTGGACCTTGGCAGGTGCAGCTGGTCCAGGACCCAGCGACCGGAGGGACCTTCGTGGTAAAGGCAGGTGCCACTTAGTCCCCTGCCACCCTGCATCCCCCCCTGGAGCTTTCCCACCACTCTTGGAACCCCTGCCCTCTGGGGAACCTCCCACCCAGAATCTGTACCTGAAGCCCAGGCTCCCTCCAAATCTAAAAGCTGCTTGTTCTGCCCCTGAGCATGTCCCCCGCCTCCCAGACACACACACTGCCTCATCCTTGTTTCAGAGGGGTGAGGGCCTGGATTCTGTGGTGGGAGCAGGGGTGAGGGCCAGGTCAGGAACTGGGGGAGGCAGTTGCTCTTTGGGGTGGGTCCTAACCCCTATCATGTTTGCCCCTAAAGCCAGGCTAGGACATCCCCTCGCAGGGCACCGTCTGGTCTGTGCCCCACTGACCTGCCTATCCTCCCCCCAGAGCCTGTCCAGGTGTCACGTGGCGAACCGGGAGCGGCTGACCATCATCCCGCACGGCGTCCCCTACATGACGAAGCTGCTTCGCTACTTCGTGAGTGAGGATTCCATCTTCCTGCAGCTGGAGCACGTGCAAGGTGAGGGGGCCTCGGGGGTCCCCGCCAGCTCCTCAGGCCTCTGGCATGTCCTTTTTCATCCCCTTAAAATGCCAAGCACGAGGGGGGCATCACTTGCACCAGACGCGCAGCGCTGAGCAGGGGACCCAGGTTTCCTGGGGAGGGTGGGGGGAGGATGGCAGATCGGGCTGGGGCAGGCCTCTGGGTGGCGCCAGGCGGGGGGCAGGGGACATCTGGAGGAGGAGGGTCACGTCCTGGGCCATGAGAGGGCATTGATGCAGATGTCCCCGTTGTCACCATTTCCTCCAGTTTGGGCTCTTTTCATTCTTCTGGTCTGTGCCCATTCTTTGGAGTGGCCACGGGGGATGGTGGTGCCTGAGGCTGTGAGGACAGCCGCAGGGCCGTGGAGCACATATTTATCCATCACCCTATTACAGTGATTTTTTTTTTTTTTAATGAGGGACACATCCTTGGGTCATGACATAGAGTCATTGCAGGTCCATGCCTGGCCTTCTTTTATTTTACTTGCTTAAATTTCATTATACTGTTCTCCCTAAAAAGTAAAAAATTCTATTGAGCACGGGTGAACCTACCACCCAAACCACGGGCAGGAACAATAATTTACAACTCCCTTGGCGTTAAGCACCTTTTTGCGCCAGCTTGTGAGGCCGGGTCCCCTCTGGGTGGGTCAAAGGGAGAGCAGAGGGCATTCCGGGCTGAGGAGGGAGGGGGCACAGGTGAGATGTGGAAGAGAGGGGGCTCATGCTGGGTGGAGGGGAGGCAAGAGTTGGGGACGTGGTGTCCACACTCTTCTTCTCCCCTGTCCCCATGCTCACTGTGCCTCTGCATGGCCCAGGGGGCACGCTCTGGTCCCACCTGCTCTCCCAGGAGCAGCCCCAACAGTCTGGGGGCAGGTCTGGCTCCAGCCCGGAGAGGATGAAGGCTCCGCTCAACTCACCCCTCGGCCTCCAGACCCCAGCACTGCTCCCCCTGGGACCCACCTGCCTGCCAGACAGAATCCTTCGGGAGCTTCCACAGACTTCTCAGAGCCTTCCCCCAGCCAGGGAGGCCCCACCCATCACTCCCCAGAGAGAGGCTGAAGGTGACCCCTCCGCCAGGACCCATGCTTCCTGCCCTTTGGACCTTCTTAAGTCCCCAGGTGGCCGCCTGCACCTCCAAGCCAGGCGGCGACCTGGCCAGAGCTTGGACGTGAGGCCCTCTTGGGGGCTCCCTTGGGTTCATCAGGGGGCTGTCCGGGTGCTGGGGGCCTGTGGCCGAGGCAGAAGTCCGAGCCACCCCGTAGCAGCTAGGGCCCGACCGGGGTCTGGCCGGGGCGCCTGGAGGGTGAAGGAAGAGCAGGTGAAGCAGTGGGCGGCTGAGACCCTGCTCGCCCTGGAGGCGCTGCACCAGCAGGGGGTGCTGTGCCGAGACCTCAATCCCCGCAACCTGCTCTTGGACCAGGCAGGTAGGTGCCCGGGGCCCGGGAGGAGGGGGGATTAGGCTGTCCTCACCCCACCCCACCTCTCACATGGGGTCCCCAAAGCCTCCAGCCAGCGAAGGAGAGGTCTCCGAAGTTCAGGGGACCTCTGAGGTTATCTGCTGCTCCCTGCCTCTCCCCCTGGCCTCTTCACTCGGGACTCTGCCGAGTCTGGTTGGCCAAGGTTGAGCCTGAGCCTGAGTCCAAGGCGGCGGCTCCTAGGAAAACCTGGTTGTTTCTGGGCCTTAGGGGACCAGGCCCTAGGGAGGCTCTGCCCAGTGCCTGTTGGGGGAAGCCCTGGAGTCCCCTCCCACCTCCTCCAGGACTACTAACCACAAGTTTTGTCCACCCTTTTCCCTCCCTGCACACACTGGCTGAGAAGGTCACATCCGGCTCACGTATTTCGGCCAGTGGGCAGAGGTGGAGCCCCACTACTGCAGGGAGGCCTTGGACAATCTCTACAGTGCCCCAGGCAAGAGCGGAGGAGGGGCCGGGGGGCCTGAGATCTTGGGTGCCGCTGTGGGTTGAGCCGTGGGCTAAGAATGACAGTGGGAAGGGGCCGTGTCTGGGTCAGAGGGGTAGAGTGGAGACCAGGCCTCTGGGGTGAGGCTGGGACATGTGTGTTCTTATTCCCCCAGAGGTGGGTGGGATTTCTGAGCTGACGGAAGCCTGTGACTGGTGGAGCTTTGGGTCTCTGCTGTATGAAATGCTGACCGGAACCGTGAGTAGCGGGGCAGGGTGGGGAGTCCTGCTGGGTGTCACTGAGGGTAGGATAGGCTCGGCTTAGTCCAACCAGCCAGGGTTGGGGCTGAGGCTACCTGGTTCTCCAAGACCTGGCCGTTCCCTCCCCCGCAGCTGCCCCCGCAGGCCATGAGAGCCTTGGGAAGCCCCTCCCACCCAGGGCATGGACACGCCGAGCAGCCCCGCCCCACTACTGGCTATAGCTAGCGAGACTGCAACTTAGGTAAAGGAGTTGAGCTGGGCTAGTCAGGGAAGGGTTCCGGAGGAGAAACCCTGCGTGGTCTGGAGGGAGGGTGGAATTTGACACAACCCTTCTTCCCTGGAAGGCCACTGACTCATCCCCCCCAGCCGCTGCTCCCCACTGCTCCTTCCCCCCCCCCCAACGGCCGTCGGGGCTGTAAGCTCCGGTTTTGGCTGAAGGACAGCGGCCTCTGCCCTCTGTGCCCCTCCCTGAGCTCAGCATCACATGTGGGGCTGGTGAGGCCAGGCAGCAAGGGCAAGGCCAGACTACAGTCGAGCACGAGAGGACAGGAGCGGATGAAGTGGGGCCTGACGTCTGTCCTGGCGCCCTGTTAGCCCCCGACAGCCCCCAGAGCGGGGTTCTCTCCTCTTGGCCTCCCACCACTTCTCTAGCCCCCGGCCTCCCACCGGGTCGCGTCTTGCCGCTCTGCCTGAGCCCCAGAAGTCCCCGCTGTGCTCCAGTGGTGCTCCTGCCGGAGTGCCTGCCCTGATCGATGCTTCTGGCAGGCCTGGAGCCAGACGGACCTGGGTTCCAACCCTGAACTCAGCATAAAAGTCCCTTTACCTCCCGAGCCTGCTTCTTGCCTTTAAAATGAAGATGCCAGAACTTACTTTGAGGGTGGTCGTGGAAATTACGGATAAGGGACGTCAGGCATCTTCCTGGCGTGCAGTAGCTTCAAAGCGAAAGACAACCGTCGTCCTCATCCCCACGGGACGTGACACAGGGGAAGGTAAATCCCGGCCGCCACGGGAGCGTGCACACACTGCAGGGTTGCCCCCCTCCCTGTCTTCCCAGGCCCTGTCGCAGAGCCACCCCTCAGGAATCCAGCCCCACACCCGGCTCCAGCTGCCCGAGTGGCTCAGTCGCCCAGCGGCCTCCCTGCTGACTGAGGTGAGCTACGGCTGGTCCAGAGGCGGCCGCTGCTTGGCGCGAGGTGGGTGCTGGGAGGGCAGAGCTCTGGCGTGAACAGCAGCCCCACAGGCTGGACGTCTGAGGTGGGTGCCGGGGGGGGGGGAATGGGAACAAATCTGTGTATGCTGGGGGCTGAACACCACCTGTCCCCCAGGTACCACTGGGAGTTCCGTGGGCCGGGAGGCTGGGGAGTGGGGGCCGGGCAGGCCTGCCAACCCCCCGGGCTTTTCCCCCAGCTGCTGCAGTTTGATCCTGCCCGGCGCCTGGGTGCTGGAGGCGGCGGTGTCTACAAGCTCAAGGCCCACCCCTTTTTCAGTACTACCCAGTGGAGCAAACTGGGGGGGTAAGAGGGGGCAGAGTGGGTCATGGAAGCTGCTGGACTAGTCTGGATCTTCTCTCCCCTCTGCCGCCCAGAGCTGGCCCGTCTAATCAGTGACCCTCAGGCAAAGGTGGCAGTTGCTCAGCGCCACTCTTGGGCACCATCGTAACCATCGCTACTGCCCAGAAGGGGCTGGGCATCCCCCAACCGGCTCTGGAGACCCTTTCTGGTCTCTGCTGAGGGGTAGATCCCACCCGGCTGGGAAGCTTGGACCCCTCCGCCCATCCATCCTCCACCCGTCAGTCAACAGCTCCCTGTACCTTGACCGCAGACCTGCCAGGCCACAGGGTGCCTTCCGCAGCATGAGCTGAGCTCCTGCCCGCCTGCTGAGTGAACGGCAAGGTTTCGTGACTCATGAGCGGCCATGTGCCCCACTGGGGACATCTCTGGAGACTCATCTCAGGATACTGGTCCACTGGCCCAGTGGACCCAAACCAGGGCTGCCCTGCCTGCTCATCTTAGCCGTGCAACTCAGCCTCTTCCCCCTCCCAGGCTATTCCTACACGGGGTGGGAGGGTGGGGGACAGGATGATCCACTCCCCAACCTGACCATGCCCTGTCTTATGACTTCAGACTGGAGAACAAAAGGCAGGCAGGAGAGAGAAATAAGGATAAGCATCAGGGGAGAGGAAGGCACAGCTCTGGCACTTAGAGTCATTCTGAAAACAGAATAAAGAGCTCTCTTCCCCAGCTAGCCCACCCGTATGGGAAGGGGAGTCTACCCCCTGGGCCCCCAGGCTGGAGCAACTACCACACTTTGTACCCATTACAATCCCTTCTCAGGCATTTGTCCTATTTACCATTTTGCATTTTAGTCTTGAGGGTCCATTCAATTCACCGCCCACTGTGACTTCACAAAACACTTGGAATGATTGCCTAAGCTTTTAGCCAGAAGCAAAATGTTTCTGGTCCCTGAAGAGCTGGGGTAAGTAGTTACCCCAAAGACAATCCCCTCCCCAAGTTTGGAGGTCCTCTGATTCCCCTCGGGGCTTATCCTGTCACTGGGGTGTGGCGCCTAAGAAGGAAATTTCCACCAGACCTCTGCCCCCAACTCCTTCCTTCCAGTGTCTCCACCACCACCAGGGGGCGCCTCCGACACTTCTCCAGTCTGGCTGTGAAGGTCCAACTCTAACTCTATGGGTAGAGACCAGTCCTGCAGAGGGCACACGGGGGGAACACAGCCTGCGCCTGCTTTCCCTGGGCCTTGCCCATACCCCCTACCCCCCAATAAAGCCTGCCATTGCCTATGGTGTCCTTGCCTCCTGAATGCAACCAGAGCAGCCCTGCCAGAAGGGAGAGATTGGAAGGCTCCCCCCGAGAAGCCCCATGCTACTCAAGAGTGAGCTTGGAGTCCCCTAAGAAGGTAGGAAGCAGGGCTGGTAGTGAAAGGCATGTCAGCCTGTGCCCCGCAGAGAAGCTGAGAGGAAAGGACGGCATGTAGGGGGCCCTGGGATCTGTGGGAAAGAGAGAAGTCCTAGAGGAGGGTCATGGTATCTGGGGGGGGAGGGGGGAGACAGGACACTAGTCTAATAATCCTCACAGTGACCCCGGAGATGGATGATGGCTCGCATTAAAGACCCTAATGCTAGGGCCCGGTGGAGCCTGTCCACAAGTCTGTCCTTTTGCTAAGTCAGGCCGGACTGCTCCCAACCACTGCCACACGCAGGCGGAGCTGCTTCTGAACTTCTGGGCCTCATCTGTGCGACAAACACCTGAGCATCTGCCCCTCTGCTGGGCCGTGAATACCGGTGTCCCAGCCCTTATGGGGCTAGTAATCCCTCCACTGGAGGTTTCCTAGAGAGAGCTTCTAGCACCAAGCCCAGGGCAGGTTGAAGTTCTGCCTTTCCTTGAACCCCTCCTCCCCCCCCCCCCCCAATTAGCTCTAAGTTCTGCCCTCTGGAGCCACTTCGTTCCTGTGACAGACCTTCACCCAGACATGGCATCCCTGCAGGCCCAACAGGTGGGGGTGGTGTTTAAGCTCAGAAGCCATATGCCTGTCACCCACAGCCTAGGTTAGCTCCCAACCCTGCCTGCCTCCCTCCCCGACCCCTGCTCCCAGGGGGTGATCTACCCTCATCAGTGCTCACTGACCTCCGGCACCCTTGTATACATGTGGCAATCAAGTCCAAAATGCAAAATTGTCTAAGTTGCACCCACCTCCTCAATCCACCCCAGAAACGCTCCAAGCCCCCACAGAAACGCTCGTCTGGTGGCGTTTGGGTCCCACCTTTTTGAAGCCACCGCGAAGTCTCTTCAAGAGCGTGGCCTGTCAGGCTGGAGGGGCTCACCAGAAGGAAGCCAGGCACGTTCCTGGCATGCGGACGGCTAGGGTTCCACCTGCTATCAAACCAGTACAGTGGTAACTTCAGAAATCTGGCATCTCACAGGCTAACTCCCGGGACAGGCTGTGGCTTCCAAGCTCGGGACAGTCAATGCTGGGGCTGTGCACCGTGGGAACTAAAAGGAACGCAGAAGCAGGAACCTTTTGAGAACATTTGCCCTTTAATTTGCATTTAAAATCAGTTTCTTTAAATATTTCAGGTACAAGTTCTGAATAGCGAAGACAGAGTAGATGCTGCAGGCACTCAGTATCGGCTCCACCCCCCCCCCCAGGCCTTGCTTCTCCGCTCCAGCTCCAGATCCGAACGGGCACAGCACTAAGTCAGCGGCTCCTGGTGTCCAGTGTCAGCAGCCTCAGGCCTGGATGCAGTTGCATACAAAGCAATGAAGCCCAGCAGCTTTCACGACAAGATGTGTGTATTTAAACTTGCTCCAAGCAATTCCAATGATTGTGCCCAGACCCATCTGGCAACACCACCTCAGGCGACACTGCCCATCATCCCCGCTGTATAGTAGCATCTTGGGGCTGGTTTCCACCAGGGTCCATCCTCCCTGACACCCCACTCCCTCAAGGGCCACGATGCACAGAGAAACAGAGCTGCCCCTTCAGTCCGAGTGCTTACGCCAATGGCATGTAAAAAGCTCAAATCAATCTGAGCCAGTCCACAGGAAGCCCCCTCACCCCAATCTCACCAGCCTCCAGCCCTTGGGACCATGCCCTGTCCCGCTGCCATGATGTGCTAGAATCTGCTCTAAACGACAGCGATGTGCTAGAATGGTTCCAAGCAGCCCAGAAAGGTTGGCACAACCACGGCTGTGTGTTACTGTGCCAAAATGGAGCCGTGACTGAGAGGGTGGGCTCTGCTCCTGTCTTGTCTAAAACATACCACCTCGGAGGGGACTCTGCCCCCCCCAACTACCTCCCCCCTCCCCCCCAGACCCCCTGGCCTGTGCTTCCTGGACGAGGTAGAAGAGGCATCCTGAAGTCCATGGCAGCGCAGAATGAACTGTTATTTACGCGGCAAGCAGCACCTCTTGGCCTGCAGTCAATACCTCCATACAGGTGCAATCAAGTGAGAATGTGCACAGCCGGGCCAGAGGCTGCTGTGAGCCTGGGAGACACCACACCCTCCTAAGGAGGCTCTGGAGAATAGACTTTCAAAAGATACAAACTTGATCACATGGTCCCCAGTGGTTTCCCTATTGAATACTGGCCCAGGAGAGAAGCAAAATCATCTCTGCAAAAGACGAATGGGAGAAAGGCAGGAATATTAATGAGCATCCACTAAGGCTCTCTCTCCCTCAAGCCTCAAGAAGATGTTCGAGTGTACGAGAAGGGTGCAGAGAGGGGAGAGCCTGGCAGAATACCAAGAAAAGAACTGTGGCTGCTGGTTACGTAGTGCCCTGGTTTCCTTGCTGGAGGCCAACAACATGTGCCTGGCACCAGGCTAGCCTGGAACCCATGAGGGGACAGGGAGAAGATTGGTGGTCAGTTCCTGCATGGTTGGTGTGTAGGGTATGTGGCTTCCTCCTAAAGGTCCAGTAGGAGGACTCTGGGATCCTCTACCGCTGCCTTGATTTTGCGGAGAAAAGTTACTGCCTCTCTGCCGTCGATCAGCCGATGATCATAGGTCAGTGCCACGTACATCATGGGCCGCACCTCCACCTACAGAGAGGAGAGGTTGACAGGTCTGTCTGCAGCAGAGGAAGCCCCACTGGAAGTGGGGAGATGAGAAAGCATAGCCCATAGAAAAGTTTCCAGTTCCAGAGCTTTTCCTATTGATGTTGCTTCTGGAGCCTTCTACTTTCAAAGACCAAGGCTTACCCTTAGTGCAAAGCTCTCCCACTCAAGAAAGCTCAACCAAGAAAATAAAGAGTCTCTTCCAAAAGCGCCTTTTAAAAAAACATTCTTGGGCACCTGGGTGCTGAGTTGGTTAAGCTTCCAACTCTTGATTTCGTCTCAGGTCATGATCTCAGGGTCCTGGAATCAAGCTCCATAGCATCAGGCTCAGCTCTCAGTGGACACCCCCCCCTCCCCGCCCCAGCTTGGGAACACACTTGCGTATACGCGCTCTCAAATAAATCTTTAAAAAAAAAAAAAAACAAAACACATTCTCTGCCCTTTCTAAAGGAAAACTTTTCCCTTCAATCCTGGCAGCCTGAAGTTTCTTCTTTAGGGTTAGAATTTTAAAAAGTAACCAGAGATCCTCAAATTCTCTCAAGTGGAATGCAAAGTTAGGTGTGTGAGCATTTTCAAGAGAGAAGACCTAGGATTTTTGGATTCACAAGACCTAGTGACCCAAAAACGTTCTAAACACAGGAGTCCCAGAAAATATTTTCCTACCAACATTATCTTCTAGGGCCAGCTCAAGACCCTTTAACTTTATTCCCTGAACTCCCAGGGAACCGCTAAACCTTCATACAACCTGGGAGCTCATAGATCTTCATTGCTGTCCTGTTTCCCCGGGGCAAGGACCACGTTTCCAACTGTGTCCCCACTCCAGACGGCACCTAGAGAATGGAGCTTGATGACCTCTCCCGATGAAGGAGGAAGTCACCTCAACTCCATGGTCCTCACACTTTAAGTTGTATCAGAATCACCTGCAGCTTCTGCTTCATCAGGTCTGGAAAGGGGTCTAAGAGTCTGCATTTCTAAGAAGTTCCCAAATGATGCCAAACCACACACCACAATTTGAAGATCAGTGCCTTAGCTATTAATTAGAAACTAAGAGATGGAACTTATGCCTGAAATTCCAGTGCATCTGTCATAATTAATAGCTAGCTTTCCCCCTCCTCTTCATCTAGCCGCTAGGACATTTGCAGTGATGGTTCCTACCTTGCCCCCCACAGCCACTGGCCTATCAAAGATGCCGTGCATGCCCAGAATGGCCGACTGAGGGGGGTTGATGATGGGCGTTCCAAAGAGCGAGCCGAAAACACCTCCGTTGCTAATGGTGAAAGTACCACCATCCATATCTTCAATGGCAAGTTCATTCTTTCGGGCCTAAGAATGGAGATTTAATCACTGCAATATAAGGACAACCCAGCTTTCTTCACCTACAGGGAGTCCAGAAGGCTCCTGTCTGAGATCAACAGTCCAACTTCTAGCTGTTGTTCAGCAGAAGACGCCTGCGGCCAGGCCTCCACCAGAGGACAGGCACGATGCCTTGAGGACCTTTGCTTTCCCCAGCAGGCCTCCTCTGACGAGGTCTTCCGTGACAAGAGCACAATGAGCGCTGCCAGATAGCTAGAGTTCGGCTCCTGGGGGTGACTGCCAGTCTCGGGCTCTGCACACCTTACCCAGCAGAGCAAGGCACCAGTTCCCTGATCACTGCCCACTGGTGAGCCCAGCCTTCCCCGGCCCCTCCTCCCTGACCTGCCCAGCAACCAACACACATGCTGCTTTCCACTTTACCTTTTCTCCCAGTTCGCTGATGGTTCGCTCTATATCTGCGTAATTCATAGCTTCCACGTTCCTGATAACAGGAACCACCAGACCCTGATGAGAGTGAAAAGCTGTTTTCAGTTGCAGATTAATAGTACCCTTTATAATCCCTTGATTCAAGTGGGTGGTCTCTGCTCCCCATTGAGCATCTTAATGACTCAATGTGATTAACAGAGTCTAAAATATTTAGGCTTGACGTTAAAAGATGTGGTGGGGTCAAAAGCAGGTTACTCTTTTACTAACTCCCTTCTAAGACAGGATTACAGAAATGCTCTCTCCCCAGGGGTCTGCTTTTTTATACAAAGTGAGAGTCTAAGACCAGAGCTCCCCACCGCTTTCCCCAACATACCCGTGGGGTGGCCACGGCGACACTGATGTCAATATAATCCCTATACACCACTTCTTTGGTTGTGTCATCAATCACTGTGAGAGAAAACACATGTTACACACAACTGTCCAAGCCTAGGCTAACGCAGAAATACTTGTGTTAACAGAGTGAAAATCCACCATGCCTGGTACAGTGGGCTGACCAGTCAGCAGGAAAACCATTGCACTGCATGGGGCGGACTCCTCTTACTCCCAACCAATCCTAACATTTCCCAAGTGCCCTGACTGAGGCCGAGCACGGGAGCACCCGTTTTTCAAAGGAAGACTCAGTACACCGGCTCACACAGGATAGGTGTGCACGGAGCTCCCTTTAACTAGCTCTGCCCAAACCCTCCCTTAACAGAGAATGGCTAGGTTTAAAAAGTGCTCCCAAAAAGGCAGTTGCAAAGGGAGGGGTGCGGTGCTGCCCATTCCGCTGCCTACTCTCCGCAGGAGGTGAGGGAGGCCTCGTTCTCGGAGACTCCAGAGGCAGCAGGGTAGTGTAAGGCAGCAAACCGGCAGCTGAAAGTCTAGGTCTGGTGCTCATGAGAAAATACAGGCTCGGCACTCTTTTCCACAGAAAGTCTATGTTGTGTTGTTAGATAAGCCACCAAGGCAAAGCATGTGGGAAGTGATAAAGAGGCCAAAAGAACTCTGAGAAATGCCTACATATACAGGCAGGCAGAAGAAAGGGATGGAGAGCCAATGAGGAAGCATGAGAAGAATGGTAGGAACAAGAGGTACATACACATCTGGACAAAGCAAAGACAGCCCTCTACCTACCTAGAGCACATCACTCAATGCAAGGGACTAGAGCTTCTATTTCTAGATCTTTAGGGACCCTGGCATTGCTCAGAATTGCAAAAGTGTCACTGTCCACCCCCCCAACCTTCCAGGGAACAGAGAAGTGTCTCAATAGGAAAGAGAACTGCTTGTTAGGTCAACATTTCAATAACGTAGGTGAGCAAAAAGTAAGGAAAACGAGCACCAAGTCCATGAAAGAGGGGCCAAGCCCAGGGCCTCCCACTGAGGTCCATCGACCAGAAATCAAAGGTCACCCTGGAGCCTATGCCAAGTGGGAAGTCAGGCCCCAAGATCCCGGGGCCCCTGGAAAGGCAAGTGCTAGACAGAACACGAGCTTCCACCTGGACATGAGAAGCCCCGAGAGCTGGGCTGGCTCAGAAGTGCTTGTTGGCAGAGCAGCTGCCAAGCTATGAAATGGGAAGAGAAACCACTCTGTCCAGCTAGTGGGGAGAAAACAGCCATGACACCACTTCAGGAAGGTGATTCAAGAAATACCTGGAGAAAGACACTCATGTTTTCACAGGTATGAAATAAAGCCTTGGTCTTTCTGTGTGTGGGAGCACACATACCTCCCAGGACCTCTTCGAGTCCGGCCACCACAAACTCACCTGCATTGACCACAGGCTGCTCCTGCAAGGCAAAGGCTGAGGCCTTCACGAATGCCGACATGAAACCTAGTTTGATGTTATGTTTCTTCAGAAAAGCATCTTTGTGCCGAGCCCTCATCTCTTGGATGTTACTATAAAAACACATTATAAAACAAAGTGACCACAAAGCCCTTATTTTGCCTTTCATACCAGTTTCTAACTCCATGTACACAATTGGGTAAGCATTTTTCCCTTCCTCTGGACCATCTACCCAAGTTCAAGTTTTGAAATAGTCCAGCGGAGGTCAATACAATAACCTCGCTTCTTTACAAAACCTGGAATCAAAGAAATTGGGTCCAATCAGTCCTGACGGTACGGCTGAGCCTCTTATAGGGCTCCTTCCTATTCCAGAAGTCATAGAATTCAGTGACAGATAATATGAACAAGAGCTCACACAGCATACTAACATCCTTGCCTGGATGAGAAAGTGATTTCTAGCTACCCGAAACTCATGAGCTCTCTACTCTGAAGAATAATTATTTTAAGCATAAACAAAGTCTACAAGATAAACAATATTTTTTTTAATTTCTTGTTAGAATTATGTCCAAAAAAATCCACCAAACTTGATTAGAACTTCCTTTTGACATTCTTCCTATCTTCCACTTAATGAAAACAAAACCTGAAAAAACTCCACAGGTGTTTGGGCTCCACGTGAGCAAAAGCACCCATGACTATATATGGTCAGGTATAGACCAGTGTTCTTTTAGGCTCATGGGAAAGTCAATAAACTCCCTCCTATCTCCGCAGAGTTAGCAATTCCATATACTTGCTCCTTCAAACAGGTGCTAAACCCCCACCACATGTAAGGGCCAAGGCTGGGCGTCAAGATAATAAAGACACAGCCCTTGCCCTTTCTATCAGTTTACTGGATGTGGTTTCCTTGGTATTTAGAAAGTGGACATGTGTGGCCCTAAGCTTTTCGAGTACAAGCAGCTGGGCCTTCTGGGAAGCCTTTGCGACAGAAACAGCCTTTGTTCATTTAGGATTGGTTTTCCACAGATGTACCACATGATGGCTTTCCCATCATTTTGCTACAGAAACCTCAGTATTTATCGGAATACAGTTCTGTGATGGAAATTGAATATAACTTTATCTCAGGCCCAAATGCTCCAGTTTTCCCTTTCTCCCCATAATGGCCTAATTTGACATTAGCATGAAAGAGAAGATGGTATAACTTTAACTCCCCCTTCAGACCATTTGCCTTTGAAAAAGGAAGTTTTCTGGGGGGGGGGGGGGGGGGGCTGATTAGGTTTAAATGTTTGTTTTCCTGAGTCTAACCTTATTTAGTGCTAGGATTACCACCCTAAAGACATTACTGGTTCCCAAGACACAAGAACTGCAGAAGAGGGAAAGAGATGTGATAAACATCTCTGCTTTCAAACCTGCCCAAATGCTATTGTCTGGTCATTAAGTAGTTTCTATTTCAGAGCTCTGCCCTTGGAGGCAGGGCCTGGGACAGCAGGGCAGAGGAGAAGGTCTAAGAAAGGCCCCTTATGGGTAGCTGATCAGCACAAGACCCAAGGGCACTCGATCTAAACCACATTACCGACTGCAGTGAGACCCCAGGCCATCGTTAAGTGACACCTCGATTAGCTGCTGAAATGAGATCCAGCTACTGCACTTACCTTCCAATCAAAGCTGTTGGGCCAACTGCATCTTCCAAGGCCACAAATATTTACATGTTTTGTCTTAAGGAATTAGGTAGAATTTCAAAGTCCAATTCAATTTGTGTACAATTTGGCCCTAATGCACTGAAACATAAGCTGCGGCCTTTGTGATTCATTAGTCAAGGTCCTTCCCTATGTCCTACAGATAGGAAGGAGAGAAATCTTTGGCTTGAATGACATCCAGTCTTTTTAGGAAGTTTCACAACAGCATGGATGACATCTAGTGAAACAGGCCACAGAGCCCTACTTCTGTGAACAACGCCACAGCACACTATCCATAAACCCCTCCCTTCTCTAAGCTTTTCAGATCCCTTCCTAAAGAAAACAAATTTCCCTAATGAAAAGTAGGCTAGCAGACTAAGCACTTAGAAGAAAAAGAAGCAAAGGGATGACCTGAAGACTTCATGATTTACCTCCCGAATTAGATATAAACTCTTATCCCTGGCATTCAAAACATTCTAAAAGTATGGATCCAACTTTCTTCCCATTCTTTCCCACATATTCCTCACAGCAGATAGTTCTCAAAAGTATCCTGTACTTTCCTGTGTCAGCGCCGTATTATTTACATCGTCTGGAATGACCCTTTCCCGCAATGCTACCTGTGTCAAAATGCTAGTCAATCTTAGGCCTATTAAAAATCTCTTTTCTCCAGGAAGCACAGGGGGGAACTTCCCCTCCCCACTTCGGCTCTCCATCTCAAAAACAAATGATCTCATTCTCTCTACTTCATATTTTTACCCACTGATACTTCTTTTTCTAGATTTTACTTTGTGATTTTTAAAAGATTTATTTATTTTAGAGAGAGAGGTACACAGGGGGTTGGCGGAGGCAGAGAGGGAGAGAAAGAATCCCAAGCTGACTCCCCGCTGAGCCCGACCCAGGCCGATCCCTGAGATCCTGACCTGAGTCGAAATTCAACCGAATGAGCCACCCAATCAACAGCCAGCTCACCCTAGAAATTGGTACACTAAATTTGTCCCTTTGGTTATACATCCTGAGATTTTTACTGAAAAACACAACTTGCTTTCCATTTCATTATCACAGCTGGGAAAGGCGAAAGCTAGGACAAGCTGGTGCTTTCCCACCACCCAAATCTGAGCCACTTCGGAACACAAATCAGGAGCAGTCGCTGTGAGAAAGCAGCAGGGTACTGGGCTTTGACTCTGAGTGTGCAGTCAAATGGTTCTCCATCCCAAGGGTAGGCCCAGTTGCCCTAGCTCTACTTGGCAACTCGACACTAGTCATCGGAATTTAACACCATTACCAGCCTCGTTTATCAGACATCACAAAATTCAGGTATAAAAGGCTAAAAGTTTTTTTAAGTCACAGAGGCAGGCAATTAGAGAACGAACCCCATGGGTCAATCTGTTTTAGTCAACAAGCAGTGCAAAGAAGTACCTCTTCTTGCTGTTAGTTTTGGAATCAGCACTACGTAGGGGCTGGGGCAAGTTCAAGTGTTCTCCAAAAAAAAGGGCGCGGGAAGTAAGAGGCCCAGAGATCTCACCTCATGTCGATCTCATTGAAAGTAGTGAGCATCGCACACGTGTTCTGGGCCTCCTTCAGACGCTGGGCGATGCGCTGCCGCATCCTGTTCATTTTCTCCTGAAAGTAGGACAAGGATTAACAGTCTGGGCTCTCCGGATCAAGCCCTCCCCACTCAGTCCAAGGGGGCACTCAGCTTGCAAGGACCGAGGTGTCACGGACTAGGATACCTAAGTAAAACAAGAGCTCCAGGCTCTCCAGTACTTTTAGGAGGTCTTCTCAGGCAGAGGAGCCCACACTCTTGACCATATACTTCCTTGAGGTTTTACAGCTGCCCCTGCCAGTGACTGCTACCACGGAGCCCTCAGTGAAGTGTCCCAGGAGGACAGGAACAGGGCTCAGTAAAACCACTTCTCCACAGTGTGTGGTCCTGTGAGGGGGAGCGGCACACTCCTAAGCTCCCACCCCCTGCAGACCTCTCACTCAGCCAAGGCAGTCCGGTGGTAGCAGAGCACCGTGGGAAAAGCCACTAGACAGGTGCTCCAAAGACTTCAGGTTCTAGTCCTCTCAGATGACAAGTATGAGGCTATGACAAGCTGCCTCCTAAACTTGGTTGCCATGAACTGCCAGCAATTCAAAGGTAGGCACCACAATGCCCACACCCCCTCATCTCAACCCTATCCCCTCGGCCTCCTACTGGCCGTGCTCCCCAGAGGCTTACCCGATGTTCTGAACGCAGACCCTTGCCGGCTCCTGGCTCAGCTACTGGCGGGGCAGGAGTGGGTTTCACTGCAGACACTGACAACGAACAGAAGGTACAGCTGCATCAGAAAATCAGAGAGACAGCAGCTCTTTCGGCCCATGGGTCCCATCCCCGTGCTTTCATAAAACCACCTTTCTGCAGCCCCCCCCCCCAAAAAAACAAAACCCAACCAACCAGAGAAACAATTACTAAGTGCCAGTGCCGTCAGACTGTCCTGTCACTTAATCCTTCGGCTACCCTGAGGTGGACTAGTACCATTCCCACTTCACAAATGAAGATCTGCTCAGAGACGTTAAGGAGCTAGCCCAAAGTCACAGAGCTGTAAACAGAAAGCTGGGCTCCAACCCAGGTCTTCTGATACAAAGTCTAGAGTTCCTTCTACAAAGCAGCCACTGGAGCCTGTTCGGAGCCCTGACTGGTCTAAGATTCTGCCCCGTGAGGGAACATGGCATCGGAGGGGATGTTCTCCCACACAGAGACACGCAGGAGGGGGAGGCGTACCTGGCTTGCTAACAAGAGGCTGTGAAGGCGAGGGCACTGGAGGCATCTGAGTGGGTATGGACGCCGCGGCGGGAGGAGGAACTGCTGCGGCTGGAGGCTCTGCTTTCGGGGCTGCAGCAGCAGGAGCTTCGGCTGGCTTGGCCTTCGCAGGGGCAGCTGGAAAACACGACAAGCAGAGGTCACTGGCACCGTCTGGAATGCAAAGCAACCGAATCACAGATACTAAACAAGGTGTAGCAGCAAAAGCTCTATCTCCAATCACCCGCCAAATGCTAACTGGCTATACACAAGGCACTACGAAACGCACACAAGGATGGAAGGCGCGGTCCTTCCATTCCCCGGGGCTCCCAGACGTCCTACATTACACAACTGACCTCATTCAGCTGCCTTCCTGATTTCACAAATACCAACTCATGATCAAATTTAGCAAGTACTTTAAAAGCACCCACTAAGCCCACGGCAATGTAAACTTCCAAGCAGAAGAAACGCAGGCAATTGAAGATGTTGATACACATATATGAAAGTAACACACTTCTAGTCATGGGAGTATGGACAGTCTTGTCTTCTATTTTAAAATCATGTGTGGAAGGATACTTTTTTTTTTTTTTAAAAGATTTTACTTATTTGACAGTGAGAGAGGGAACACAAGCAGAGGGAGTGGAGAGGGAGAAGCAGGCCTCCCTCTGAGCAGTGAGCCCAAGGCGGGGCTTGATCCCAGGACCCCGGGATCATGACCCGAACTGAAGGCAGACGCTAAACCAACTGAGCCATCCAGGAGCCCCTAATACTCTTTTAACTATAAAAAAATAAAAGTTTAAATAATCAACGGCTCACTCAGACTTAAAGAGTTCGAAGCACTTCTTCTAGCATAATGCTCATAAACCACAACTTTAGATACTTTGATTTTATCCATCTGTACATACCTGGTTTCATATTTCATATTTAAATTAGAAGAACATTCTTTTTAAGGAATGATCAGAAGGTGAAAGAATTGATCTTATTCCCGGATGGGAGGATGGGTTAGCCTGGTGATGGGTATTAAAGAGGGCACGTTCTGCATGGAGCACTGGGTGTTAT